CTGCTCTTCCTGTCTGCTCTCATTACACTTTCAGGTAAACACATGCACCAGTCGTTTTGAATGTGTCCTTACAGAGAAAAGAGGAAAAGCGAATCAGGAGGGTTGGATTATGATTTAACTTTCCATTGAGTTACATGACTTTGTCTATATCCTTGTTTACTTTTTTTCCAGAGTTATTCAGTCTCATTTTTTCTTAATAATCTACTCTCAGTATCTCATGATGACAAACTGTAATCAAAATGAAATAAATGAATTGATCATTGCTATAAGATGCTTCCAAAGCTTGACTGGAGTACACCTGTGGACCAAAACTGATTAGACATGATGTGGAAAAGCATACACCTCTTTATAGAAGGCTTCACACCTGATTATCCACATCAGAGCAAAAATAAGGCCATAAAGTCAAAGGAACTCTATGCAGAGGTCAGAGATTAGGTTTTACAATGCAAAGCTGTGTGCAAGGCTGCAGAAAATGTTCTGCTCTACTGACGGTTCCCAAGAGTGTAGTGAGCTCCATAATTGTCAAATGGAAGAGGTTCAGCACAAATAGGACCCTTGTGAGAACTATTCAGCTGCCCAAACTGAGCAGTTGACATAGACTAGCTTTAGTGAGAACGCTGACCAAGAACCCGATGACCACTCTGAAATCCAAAGATGCTGTGTGGAGAGGGGAACAAGAACCCACTGTGACTACAGCCCTCCAGCTGTTCTTCAAACAAGAAAAAAGCTTTTGTAAAACAAGAGTAATTTTTTTTTCTCTTTATTTTCATAAAATATATTATATACATTTTGAATATATTTTGATTTACATATTTTAGGGTTATGTTTAGCAAAACCAGATTTTTGTTAATCAAATACTGCTGTTCCAGTAACACAGTTATGTCAAAGGTGTATTTATGTTAATGAGGCTGGATTTAATAAATGACATCATTGTCCCTTTAGAGTCCTTATAAACTGTTTATTTTGACCTTATGAACCACATATTTGCCCAAATTCAAAATGTCCAGTTGGTGTGTTTTAGATTTTATTGACTTCCACACACAGTGTAAGAGGTCTGAAGTGACCCATTTTTCCCCCCATACTTTTTAGAACAGCGCAGCCATACGTTCAGGAGTCCAGGACCTGTGGAAAGACTACTCCGTCTAGACCAACGATTAGCAGGGTTTGAGAAAAGGGCAAAGCATACCACCCATACCAGTATGTGTATGTGTGTATGTATGTGCGTGTGTGTGTGTGTGTGTGGCAGGCAATCTTTTGTAAAGTTTCCTTTTTTCCATCGTTTAATGATTTTGATAGTCTGCTAATTTGATAATGTCCTGATTTAATCTTTGCTACAGAGCTTGCAGCACTTTTCTCTGACGATGCTCGAGGTAAGAAGTTGTTTTCTTTCTCTTTTATAATATATAAACTATCCGCACTCTAAGTTACAATTAAAGTTACATTTTCTCTGTATTTATATTGTACATATGTAACAGTTAATTCTATGTACCTTCACTGTAAGATGAGTTCCTTGTCTCAAATTGCGGTTGATGAAGAGTATTTTTAACACTGGCTAAAGTGTCCTATTATCACAAAGACACCAAAAGCCGCTGGAAAGACCTCTTCCTGTCAGATAAAAACTACTATTGGGCAGAGGAAATATGAAAAGAAAGAAAAAGATGAAAGAAACCTAGTCCAAAATAAAGACTATAAATTTAACTTGTCTCAAAAACGGTAAGACAACAACACATGCATAAATAGTGACCCAGCTAGCTGGCTAGCTGTCTTGCATTTATTCTTATGTTATAAAGACCAAAGTTTTTTTTGTTTTGTTTTTTATCTCCTAAATGGATATTTTTATGTAAACAGTTCATATTCAGTTTATTGAGGTCCTAGACTCATGATAAAACAGCCACTGTTATATGTGGTGTTAGGCAAAGCTAACAAACTCAGAGTTATACATACATACATCTAGCATCCGAATTTGGACAATTTCAATTCAAGTTATTATTTTAGCAGAATAAGTTGAACATTGTGTTTTATGCTGCTTTTTCACACTGTTTTTGTGGTGAAAATAAAATAACTGAAACAACAGCTTTTAAAATAAATCTCTCTCTTTCTGCTTTTCTCTAAATACTACTGGAAAAGTTAAGTACCTTTTTGACACACCCACTGCCACACTGAGACCAATGAGGTATGAGATACCACTAGGGGGCAACGTGACACTGAGCTGCTTTGTGGACGGCTCTGACAACTGGACCATTTTGTGGTACAGAGCTGCCACATATGGCTCTAAAGACGAGCCTATGACAGAATATGAAGGGAAGAAAGCTATTAATGTGTCACAAGGAGGTATCTACCACTGCAGAGGAAGAAGCGATTCAGGTAGCATCACACACCAAAGTAATGCTGCCATCATTGAAGACACTCGTAAGTTCTCCTGTTTATCCCTTAGTTATGGAAGTTAAAGTTATGAGATTATGTGATCTGTCCTTCGTTTTGTCTTCCTCTCAGCCAGACAGATAGAGAGACTGTGTGTGTGTTTGTATATATATATATATATATATATATATATATATATATATATATATATATATATATATCAGGGTATTTACATCACAATATAAAGAGCCTTGAGGCAATTGTTGGCATCATTTGGTGCTATGTAAATAAATTTAATTGGATTGAATTAGATGATGCTTCTGTGTTTCTTTTAATTTCATATTTTATGTGAACAGTTCCTATTACAGCCATTTTGACCCTGAAGCCCAACTGGACTAAGATATACATGGGTGAAACATTCACTGTCAGATGTGACATCCAGGGAGGTGAAGGAACTTACTGGAGCTATGATTGGAGACCAAAAAGGTTTACCACATATTATACAACCAATGAAAGAACATTCTACAATGTTGGTTGGGATGACAATGGAGATTATCAATGCAGAGGCAAAACGGATCTTTCCTTCACACAGTGGAGTAATGTCATTCCAGTAACTGTATCATGTAAGTTGGGCATCTTTCATCCATATAAACTGCTTCATTCAAATTAGTAAAAAACAAAAAAACCCAAAAAAAAAAAACATACGATAACTTGTCTGTGCAGATTCTCATTCATCCAGGCCATGGTAACCTAAGGAGCTTGGAAAGAAAAGCAACTCGTCACTTGACTGATTAATTAAATAATGACCCAGTATTTTGAGTTTGTTCTGAACGCATGATTCTTTGCCTTGGAGTTAAGAAATTATTTATGTTCCAGTTCTAGAATGTGTGTTTTTTCTCTGAATTTGGTAGCTATAGCACTGGATTTCTTGTTTTATGTTGGTTCCCTTTTTCATGCCTAGTCTGTCCTTGTCTGATCTGTTCTGTCTTCAGCATCTTTGTGCATATTTCCCTTTTTTACTCCCTCTCAGTCTGTCACATCTAAATGTCGTGTTTTTCCAGTTGTATCTCAGTGTCTGTTATTGTGTTCTCCAGTGTGTTACTTTATGTGTGCCACACACAGCGTATTGTGACATGGTGTGGTTCAAATGACAACAATAAAATTAGTATTATGTATGACAGTGGTACAGTTTGTAATTCCACTGTCAAGATTTGGTGATATTTATTTACATGTTTTCATCCAGTTATTTAAATGTTTTTGCTCAAAAGGGAAGAGTGAACCTGGCCTGATTTGTGGACCCATCATATAGCAATATTATTTAAAAAAATACATAAATAAAAAAGCCTAATCTAAAAATCTTGTTTCAACAGTTAAACTGCATCCTGTCCTCACTCTGTCTCCCTCATGGCTCAGTCCTGGAGCCTCAGTAACTCTGAACTGTGAGGTTGAATATCCTTCTGAAGGATGGAGCTTCTCCTGGTATAAAGCTGTTCCTTATTATAAAATAACAGAGGAGCCCTACACGTATGAGCTGCTACCTGATGGCAGCAAGACTGCTCAGAGTTTGTACATCATTACTGGGCAGACAAGCACAGCAGCATATGTGTGCAGAGCGGAAAGAGGAAGCAACTACTACTACACCTACTACAGCGATCCAAAGTTTGTCTGGTCTGCTGGTCAGTTTCTTTCTGTCTCTCAATACTTGTAATGATGCTTAGTTTTTATGTGTTCTTCCTGTGCTTTCACTTATTGATCCATGTTGTTTTTCAGATGCTTCATCAGCAGCGTCTCTCACAGTCGGCCCTGTAGTGCAAAATTTTGGCTCTGACTTTGTCAAACTGACTTGTAAGGGAAACTCTTCTTCATGGAGAGTGAGGAAGTTCCCAGAGAATGGCCGGCCATATTGTAGCAACTTTTGGCTGTCAGGAGAATCTGTATGCACAATCGACACAACATATTCAGATGACGGAGTGTACTGGTGTGAGTCTATGTTAAAAGAGTTCAGCAATGCAGTCAACATCACTTTACAGGGTTTGTAGAATGGTTTTTTTCCCTTTTGTGTTATAACGTTTCATGAATATTTCTATCACTATGTATGTTAAGCAATTCTTTCATGGAAAAAGAGGCAGAAATGTAAAGATTATTTTATTTTTGGAATCTCAACTCAGCAGCATAATACTCTTCGTTATTAGTTTTATTTCATTCCATGTTTTATAAATTAATTTACCAACATTTTTCAAGAACATATATATATATGATTATGATGTAATTGTACTCCCCATTCAGCTGAGGCTGAATAGCATCTCGCTGAGACACACTTGACAGTTGAAAGGGCTCTATGAGCTAAAAGAAAGGACGATTTTGTTGTTTTTTTTTATAAGTCACATATCAGATCTTTAGCTATAAGCTATAACACATTTGATCAATCAGTAATTATTATTGCACATGTTTTTTTCCCTCTTTTTTATTTTCTAAAATCCAGCACCAGCTGATCCATTTGAAGCAATATCTTCTGTATGTTTTGCAGACTTTTATTCTGGTCCTCTCATGGTGGTCCCTGTTGATCCTGTGAATGAGGGAACTTTTGTTAGTCTTAGTTGCAACTTGAGAAGAAAAAAATCTTTCCCAATGTGGCTTTTTATCACAATGACAAACTTGTCCAAAATGATTCCCGAGAGGAGCTGAACTTCTTGGCAGTGTCAAAGTCTGATGAAGGTTTCTACAAGTGTCAGTACTCAGGAAAAGAGTCACCATCGCGTTACATGACGGTTAAATGTGAGTAGCATTTGAAAATGTGACTTCTTTTTAAATAATCGTAATCTTTGAGAAGGAACTCACTTGTCATTTGTTGTATTAGCACATATATGAGCATCGAAATAATCTTGTTCTTTTTTGGGAGAATGGTTTTAAATTGTATTTTGAAAAATGTCTCATATAGTGTCACTTAATACTGTTTAAATGTTTGGTATCACACTAGCTACTGTACCACCTGAAATCTTCAGCCAGAGTGAAAGTAGTGAAAACAGCCCCCTTCATCCTGGTCAGTACTTAAATTTGTTATTATTAAATTTTTAATTTTGATTGAGGCTGCGTTACAAGTCAAATTTTTATGTAAATGGTAAATGGTCTGCATTTGTATAGCGCTTTTCTAGTCCCTAAGGACCCCAAAGCGCTTCATACTACATTCAGTCATTCACCCATTCACACACACATTCACACACTGTGACATGATATGGTGTCAAGAGAGCAACTGTGGTTCTGCTGGAGGAAGTCAGAAGTGACAGAGAAGTTTGTGAGGGTGGAGCAGGACATGTTTGACAATGTGTCAGGGGTGATTTGTGATATTAAGATTTTCATTGGGAGTGACCAGGATAGACAAGAGTAGAAATGAGTACATCAGAGGGACAGCTCAGGTTGACAAGATTGAAGGTGAGACTGAGATGGTTTGGATATGTGCAGAGGACAGTGGGCATAGTGGACAAAGGAAGTTGAAGATGGAGCTGCCCTAGAGGAGGTAAAGCAGACGACCATAGAAGAAGATTCATCAGTGTGTGTATAGCTTTAAAAAAAAAAAAATCATATGACCGAGCCAAATTGACTGCAATTTCCAAATCACCAAGAGGAGAGGTGCTAGCTTTTTATCCTCCATTAAACAATGCAAGTAGACAGAAAACATGATTTTCTCCAGTCTGGTATCATCTGGGATCCCAGTAGCCTGAAATGTTTTGGGGGGGTTTTGTTTTGTTTTTTACAATTCAGCACATATCGAGTAACACGCCAACACAGTATTGACACAGGAAGGGGGATAAGGTGCATAAGGTGTCATCTATCCATAACTAGTCGAGTATGTAGAGGGTTGGTGTGACTGTGGAGAATGACAGGGAGGCTGAGATGGAGTCAGATAATGTGTTGTGGTGACCATGTGATAATGTGTTGGCAGCCGGCAGCCAAATGAAGAATATTTTAATTTAAAAAGACTCACAGTATGAAAATATTTTGAATTATGAAAAATTGCATAGTTCTGGATTTATTTATACAATAAAAGTTGTTGTTGTTGTTGTTTATTCAGTCTAATGACTTTAAAATAATTGTTGCTGGATTTATTTATTTTTTAGGTAGTGCCGCTGTCTATGAATCAGCAAACAAAAATGGAAGACACTGGAAATGGTACAGTACAGACACACACACACACACACACACACACACACATATTATATATATATATCTATCTATATATATATATCTATATATATATCTATATATATAAATATACCAATAACCTGCCTCAGTACTACATGGAAGCTCCTGTCAGGCATCATATCGGCTAAGATGAACAGGCACATGGGTCAATACATGAGCGGGACACAGAAAGGAATTGGCAAGAATACCAGAGGCGCAAAACACCAGCTACTGGTAGACAGAACAATCAGCCGAGACTGCAAGACCAGACTGACCAACCTGTGCACTGCCTGGATTGATTACAAGAAGGCCTATGACTCAATGCCCCACAGCTGGATACTGGAATGCCTAGAATTGTACAAGATCAATGGGACCCTAAGAGCCTTCATCAGGAACTCAATGGGGATGTGGCGTACAACACTAGAGGCCAAATCCAAGCCCATAGCACAAGTCACCATCAAGTGCGGGATCTACCAAGGAGATGCTCTGTCCCCACTGCTGTTCTGCATAGGCCTGAACCCCCTCAGTGAGATCATTAACAAGACTGGCTACGGATACCGACTACGGAACGGAGCAGTTGTCAGCCACCTCCTGTACATGGATGACATCAAGCTGTATGCCAAGAGTGAACGAGACATCGATTCACTGATCCACACTACCAGGCTATACAGCAATGACATTGGAATGTCGTTCGGACTGGAGAAGTGTAGTCGGATGGTAACAAAGAGAGGGAAGGTAGTCAGAACTGAGGGGATTGAACTACCAGAAGGCAACATTGCAGACATAGAGGACAGTTACAAGTACTTGGGGATCCCGCAGGCAAATGGGAACCATGAAGAGGCCGCTAGAAAAGCTGCAACCACCAAGTACCTGCAGAGGGTCAGGCAAGTCCTGAGGAGTCAGCTGAATGGTAAGAACAAGATCTGGGCCATCAACACGTACGCCCTGCCCGTGATCAGGTACCCTGCTGGGGTAATAGGCTGGCCAAAGGAGGAGATAGAAGCCACTGACATAAAGACAAGGAAGCTCCTTACCATGCATGGAGGGTTTCACCCCAAATCCAGCACCCTGAGGCTGTACGCTAAGCGGAAGGAAGGGGGCCGGGGACTGGTGAGTGTCAGCACCACAGTCCAGGATGAGACAAGGAACATCCAAGAATACATTGGGAAGATGGCCCCAACTGACCGAGTGCTCAGTGAATACCTCAGGCAGCAGAAACCCAAGAAAGAGGAGGGAGACGAGGAACCATCATGGAAGGACAGGCCCTGCACGGTATGTACCACCGGCAGATAGAGGAGGTGGCTGATATCCAGAAATCCTACCAGTGGCTGGACAAAGCTGGACTGAAAGACAGCACAGAGGCACTAATCATGGCAGCACAAGAACAAGCTCTGAGCACAAGATCCATAGAGGCTGGGGTCTATCACACCAGGCAAGACCCCAGGTGCAGGCTGTGTAAAGATGCCCCAGAGACAATCCAGCACATAACAGCAGGGTGCAAGATGCTAGCAGGCAAGGCATACATGGAACGCCATAACCAAGTGGCCGGCATAGTGTACAGGAACATCTGTGCCGAGTATAACCTGGAAGTCCCGAGGTCAAAATGGGAGATGCCCCAAGGGTGGTGGAGAATGACCGAGCTAAGATCCTGTGGGACTTCCAGATACAGACGGACAAAATGGTGGTGGCTAACCAACCGGATATAGTGGTGGTAGACAAACAGAAGAAGATGGCCGTAGTGATCGATGTAGCGGTTCCGAATGACAGCAATATCAGGAAGAAGGAACACGAGAAGCTGGAGAAATACCAAGGGCTCAGAGAAGAGCTCGAGAGGATGTGGAGGGTGAAGGTAACGGTGGTCCCCGTGGTAATCGGAGCACTAGGTGCGGTGACTCCCAAGCTAGGCGAGTGGCTCCAGCAGATCCCAGGAACAACATCGGAGATCTCTGTCCAGAAGAGCGCAGTCCTGGGAACAGCTAAGATACTGCGCAGGACCCTCAAGCTCCCAGGCCTCTGGTAGAGGACCCGAGCTTGAAGGATAAACCGCCCGCAGGGGCGTGCTGGGTGTTTTTTTTTTTTATATATATATATATATATATATATATATATATATATATATATATATATATATATATAAGTATTTTGATTAAAGGATTTCAGGTTTTGGCTCATCATGGCATCATAAAACTTTCTATGTCTTTATGTGGATGTTTTACAGGTCAGTGAGGAGAGCCGTAGCTGCGAAGCAAAAAAGAATCCTTTTGTGAACCCACTGTTGCTCCTCTGCTACACAAATATCAGTGACGCTTCAGATTTTCCAGTTAGTTTGTTTGAAGATAACACATTAAATACCTCATACTCTATACACTATTATCTACAAATATGGCACAAAAAAGGAATTCCAGCTCTAGACTTGCAGATCATGTCTTTATTGGGTCCGTCGGTCAAAGACTAATTCTGTACATCTATACACAACCAAGCCCAACCGTGACCCAACTTGAAGGTCAATATGATGTTCAACATTTGGATTTTAACTGAGTAATCTTTTGGATGTTATGGATGTCTATTACAGGTGCAGGGAATTTACATGATTAATAAATGTATTTTTATTAATTTACAAATATAAACATTAATGTGGTGTTATCAACATGATGCATATGAATGTGGGTTATGTATAAACAAACATGATTAATTACGTGTTAGCCTATATATTTAATAAGTACATGTGGGTAATTGTTTTGGTTATTTAACATTTTCTTGTTTTTCTTTGACTGGTTTGTTTATGTTAATTAATCAAGTTATTTGTTTGTAACCAGGTTGAAATTGTCATTTATTAAAATGTGTTGAAAAGACGTCCACAACCACTACATTTGAACAATAATAGCTCGTAAACATAAAGATCCTAGCAATAACAACACTAGATGTTCAGCAGATGTCGAAAAAAAGACATTGCCTGGTGTTACAAAACAACCCTTCCATGGGCCAAAATTGGACCTCCAAAAATGACTTATGAAAGATGTCATTCACACATCACTCAGTGTGATGTCCCATGAAGTAAGAAAAAACTGAAATAGATGATCTTAAGTGACTTCAGCTTTTTAACTCCACATAATCTCTGAATAGATTGTGAAAAATTCTATTACACAATCTGAATGAAAAATCACCTGTAGATGTTATAACAATCTTGGGAACTATAGGCCGATCTCTAAGCTTCTATTCCTGTCCAAAATACTGGAGAGGATCGTTCTTTCACAACTCCGGCCGTATTTGGATGTGAATGCCATTTATGATAAATTTCAGTCTGCTTACAAACCCTGTTATGGTACTAAAACGGCCTTGCTCAGAGTCCTCAATGATCTCCTTCTGAATACTGACTCTGGACACTCTTCATTCTTGGTCCTACTAGATCTATCCTCGGCCTTTGATATGGTAGATCATAACATCCTATTAGTGAGGCTTGAACACACAGTTGGCATTGGAGGTGCCACCCTAGATTAGTTTAAGTCATACCTTTCTAATAGGTCCTTCTCGATCAATTTTGGCCCTTATTTCTCCTCTGCTGCACCTAACCCTAACCCTGCAGCGTGCCTCAAGGATCTGTCCTTGGCCCCCTGCTCTTCTCACTGTATATGCTCCCCTTAGGCGCAATCTTTGAGAAGTATAACATTGCACATCATTGTTATGCCGACGACACACAGATGTATTTCAAATTAAGTGATTAAGGTTTGAGAAAAGGGCAAAGCATACAACCCATACCAGTATGTGTGTGTGTGTGTGTGTATAGCAATCTTTTTTTTTAATTTTCTTTTTTTCCATCGTTTAATGATTTTGATTGTCTGCTAATGTGATAATGTCTTGATTTAACAATTGTTATAGAGCTTGCAGCACTTTTCTCTGACAATGCTCAAGGTAATATATATATATATATATATATATATATATATATATATATATATATATATATATATATCTTACCTTGAGCATTGTCATAGATATATACATATCTATTTATACATATGTAACAATTAATCTCTGTACCTGCACTGTAAGATGAGTTGCTTGTCTCAAATTGTGGCTGCATGACGATATTTCTAACACTGTCTAAAGTGTGCTATCATGACAATGACACCAAAAGCCTCTGGAAAGACCTCTTCTTGTCAGATAAAAACTAATATTGGGTGCAGAGTAAATATGAGAACAAATAAAAAGAAGAAAAAAACCTATTACAAAATAAAGACTATAAATTTAAGTTGCTTACATAATTTTTATGCAGTTTTTACAGTTTGTCTGTGACCCAGCTAGCTGTCTTGCATTTATTCTCACGTTATGAAGACCAAAGATTATTTTTTATCTCCTAAATAGATATTTTCATGTAAACAGTTCATATTCAGTTTATTGAGGTCCTAGACCCAGCTGGACTCACGATAAAACAGCAGCTGTTATATGTGGTGTTAGGCAAAGCTAACAAACTGAGAGTTATACATACATACCCCTAGCATCCGAATTTGGACAATTTCAATTCAAGTTATTATTTTAGCAGAATAAGTTGAACATTGTGTTTTATGCTGCTTTTTCACACTGTTTTTGTGGTGAAAATAAAATAACTGAAACAACAGCTTTTAAAATAAATCTCTCTCTTTCTGCTTTTCTCTAAATACTACTGGAAAAGTTAAGTACCCTTTTGACACACCCACTGCCACACTGAGACCAATGAGGTATGAGATACCACTAGGGGGCAACGTGACACTGAGCTGCTTTGTGGACGGCTCTGACAACTGGACCATTTTGTGGTACAGAGCTGCCACATATGGCTCTAAAGATGAGCCTATGACAGAATATGAAGGGAAGAAAGCTATTAATGTGTCACAAGGAGGTATCTACCACTGCAGAGGAAGAAGCGATTCAGGTAGCATCACACACCAAAGTAATGCTGCCATCATTGAAGACACTCGTAAGTTCTCCTGTTTATCCCTTAGTTATGGAAGTTAAAGTTATGTGATCTGTCCTTTTTTTCCCTTTCTCTCAGTAATATTGCATTAGCAAAGTATGGCATGAATAAGAGGATGTTTATACAGCCACAAACAGATAAAGAGAGTGTGCTGTTTATATCTTTTACTGGTTTTACGTAGTTCTTTTGTAATTTGAAAGATATACATTTAAGTAGTTTACATGACCCTTTTTTAACTGTGTCTGTAAATATATGTTACTGCTCAGAATTCCAAACAATTCATATCTGTGAATCAGCTGGCTGTTTTAACATTGTTACTATTACCTTACAAATAGCAGATTTCTTATACTTTAAACCCTAAGTTTCTTTTCAGTACTGTAGCCAGGCTGACAAAACATGAGAAGTTTGTTGACCAAGCATAACTTTAACATTAACTAGTAATGACTTTATGAATGTCTTCACAAACAGAATTGTAACCATTAGATTATTTTATATAACCACCTAAAAGACATCACTATCTACAGCTGCCATTGATATTTATTTTAAATCTTTCCCCCCAAATTATCTATCAAGTTAACTTTAATAATTCCTTCAAAACATCAATGTGTATCTGAGACTCCATTCCTACAACACTGTTTAAAAAAGTCAAACCATTGCTTAATACTCCAGTCTTAAATATTACCAACCCATCTATCAAATTGGGCTACATATCACTGGCCTTCAAGCTGGAAGAAATTAAACCACCAGTTAAAAAACCATCACTTGGCCCAGCTTGCTTAGCTAATTATAATTATAAAAACGATCTGTCAACGCAAGGGCGTAGATTTGGTTTTGGCATTGGTGGGGACGGGTGTTTCAACCACCGAACCCTGCTCTGTTTCTTTTTTTTTCCTTTTTGTCTTTGCTTCTTGATAAAAAAGGAGAAATATACTTGCCTACATATGCTATTCTACATGCTATTAAACCATTTAAAATTACAATTCATAGTTTTATATGTGAATTATATAATGTTAAATTACTATTAAACAAATGACTAAGTATTTTAGACTTTAGTTTACTTCAGCCATATTCCATATAAATCAGGTATCATACAAAAATAAAAACAGCTTCAAATACAGTCAAGACAATAGAAGAATATGACTTTAAGGACTTAAATGTGGGATGGAGCGATTTTGCAGGTGATCACACACAAACCCACACATGTGCAATAAGACTAAGTGCAATACTCTTTTCTGAGTATTTTTGTAAGTTGTATTTTTACTCAGTTGTATATAACATTTGTATTCTATTTTTATCCTAATGTATATTTTATTCTACTATTTTATTCTATTCTATTCTGTACAGTTGTGTACAGTATATTATTCTTATTGTATTCAAATTTTTGGTACCGGTATATAACTTTGCACTGTCCACTTTCTGCTGTAACAAAACAAATTTCCCACGTGTGACTAATAAAGGTTATCTTATCTTATCTTAACAAGATTACTTCAGTTAAAGTACACCAACTTCTCTTATGCATTAGCACTAAGGGAACACTAAATGAACTGGTGGTTTTTGTCCATAAAACTACTCATCTAAGATGACCACAAAATTATTATTATGTGCTTGATATGCCTGACCTTTGGCCCTGGATTTCCCCCTCTGACTGCACTAGGACATAGGCTGGGCGAGTCCTCTCACCCACCTCAGCTCCAGAACCCTGCATTATCTACTGCGTGAGATTCATCGGCTCAGGGATCAAGACGTTGTTTGTCAGAGAGCTGAAATCAGCTTCCTGTGAAGGAGTTTGGTGGGCCTACCGATCAAAAGCACACAAAGTCTCTTCTGGGTCAAATTAGTTTTGTAGCTATTGAGATCAGCTTTAGATGAACCAGTGTGGCTCAAATAAAAGAAGATGGGGGTTTGAGGGAGCGTTGAAACTATACATGCCATGTCTGTGTGTGGTGACAGAAGTCAAGGAGACCTGGATTCAGCTTTGAAAACATATTCTGAGACATGTTTGTCAGATGGATGGAAAGATCATCGTCACGTGGTTCTCAGTGACTGATCGTGACTCGTGCTTTCGGGTGGATTGAGCCATCTGGGATGTTCCTGTGAGTCAGTAACAGAGAAAAACAGGAGTGGGCCTCTCAGTGTGTCCACACGCTGCTGTCTGCATTACACTGAGTGATAAATTCACCTACTCTGTGAACATAAAGTAGAAACAAGAAGAAACTTCTATCCTGTCACAGAGGAAGCTCTCTGTCAAACCTTATTCCTGCTTCAGACTGTGGTGGCAGAGCTGTAGCAGCTACACTCTTTGATCAGAGCTTCATGTTGTCTCTGATTACAGTAACAGGTCCAACGTGAGAGACTGGGTGGGTTTTCCTTTTTAATATATATTACCAACCCCCAGGAACATCCCAAATCTCTCAATCCACCTGAAAGCATGAGTCATGATTAGTGGGTGCCTGCGTGACGATCCACTACAGTCGGTGGAGTACAGTGGTTTTGAAAAGTATTCCCCATTTCCAGAGTTCTTTTAAAAAAAATTTTTTTTTATACATTTACATTGTTCGGAACATCAGATAAACGTAATTATTAGACAAAGATATCTCAAGGAGCACTTGGTTTAAATGCAGTTTTTCTGTACAATCAGAAAACAATTGTCAAATTGACTCCTACAGAATCGACCCCAAGCATGAAGGGTGCTAACAAAGACAACAAAAAATAACACATGAAGCAGAAGCAAACCAATCAAGTGATGATTGTCACATTTATTCTCTTTATTCTTTTACATTTTGAATGAAAAACATGAATAAAATCCTAAACAAGTAATGAAACAGTCTCATCAAAGCTTCAAGCTGCATTCATCAGCAAATGTGCATCATAAGTGTCTCAACCATTCATATTTGATTTAAAAACACAACTTTTACATCACGATGTGAAAGTATTCCTAAAGGAGTTGCTGCAGTTTGTCTAATACTTTAGTTACATTTGACTTTATTGTGAAGGAAAATTTGATAATCCACAAATAATCATTTACAACAATATATTCTGCTTTAAATCTTTACAACTCACAACAGAGAACACAATAAAACGAATAACTGCTGCACACTGACACGTTCGTGTAATTTCTTGGGTTATCTGACAGTTATTGAATCCTTTAAAATGGAAAATAACAAAGTGGTACAAATAAATAATAATCTGAAACCGAGAAACTGATGTTTTACACATTAGTGTAGAAACATCTGGATTATCAGCCTGCAAAGACAAATAATCAGCTGGACTGAGTCAGAGAAGAGACCTGCTGATGTTTCCAACATGAAGCTTGTGTTGGACAGAACAGTTCATTCTCACTGAGGCTGGGTTCAGTAACAGCTGCTTAAAGTTTGGCTCAGCTGAGTACTTTCTGCTCCTATTGGTCAGTCTCATAGACAATAGGGGAAAAATATTTACAGTAAATGTACTCGTCAGCCCGCGGGATGATGAAGTCCTTCCTGTAGTGTCAGAGTGAAATCAGTGGTCTGTGTGGAGTGTTGCTGAATGCTGTCTGTCTCTGCTCAGCAGCAGGAGACTCAAAGTTCATCTGCAAAACGCTCTGAGACATTTCAGACAGTCTGCAGTTCAGCAGGAGGACGCTCTGAATCCTGACTCTGTCCATGTGTTCTGTAGGTCAGAAAAGCAACAACAGCAACAAAAAGTACAACACAAAGTGACGCGCTCGCTATCAGTCCAGCACGTCCTCTTCTGACTCCGTCCCCTCTCAGTCCTCCTGGTTGATCTTCTAGCAGAAACAGGTGTGAGGTGCAGATAGATTCCCACGAGCGTGTTTCTTCCATGAAGACGCGACACTCGTACGTTCCAGCATCCGCAGTCGTCACATTCTCCAGAATCAAAGACACGTCTCCATCCTTCATGTGTCTGTCCTGCAGAGCCACCCGCTTATTAAAAGATGGATGCTGCT